GTAGCTAGGACTATAGGCACACGCCACCACACCTGGCTAATGTTTTTATTTTTGTAGAGGCAAGGTCTTGCTATGTTGCCCAGGCTGGTCTCGAACTCCTGGGCTCAAGCAATCCTCTTGTCTCAGCTTCCCCAAATGCTGGAATTAAAAGGGTGAGCCACTAGGCTGGCCAAAAATTGATTTGGAAAATCATTCTCGACAGGACATGGTGGCTCACACCTATAATCAGCAATTTGGGAGGCCAAGGCGGGAGGATTGCTTGAGTCCAGTAGTTCGAGACCAGCCTAAGTAACACAAAAGACCCCATCGCTAAGAAAAATGGTGAAATTAGCTGGCAGTGGTGGTGCGTACCTGTGGTTCCCAACTTGGGAGGCCAAAGAGGGAGGATTCTCTGAGCCTAGGAGGTCAAGGCTAAGGTGAGCCATGATCATGCCACTGCACTTTAGCCTAGGAGATGAAATGAGACCTAGACTCAAAAGATAAATTAATTCAACCAGGCACAGTGAATCATGACTGTAATCCTAGCACTTTGGGAGGCAGAGGCAAGAGGATTACCTGACCTCAGGGGTTTGAGACTAGCCTGGGGAACTTGGTGAGATCTCATCTTTACAATAAATAAAAAAATTAGCCAGGCATGGTGGTGCTGTAGTCCTAGCTACTTGAAAGGCAAAGGCAGAAGGATCACCCGAGCCCAGCAGATGGAGGCTGCGGTGGCCGTGAGCATGCCACTGCACTCCAGCCTGGGCAACAGAGTGAGACTCTGACTCAAAAAAATTAATCCATTAAAATATATTTTGAAAGAAAACCCTGGCCGGGCTCGGTGGCTCGGCCTGTAATCCCAGCACTTTGGGAGGCCAAGGTGAGTAGATTGAGCCCGTGGGTTCAAGACCCGCCTGGGCAACTTGATGAGACCTCATCTCTACAATAAATAAATTTTTAAAAAATTAGCCGTGTGTGGTAGCGCGTGCCTGTAGTTCCAGCTACTTGGAAGGCTGAGGTGGAAGGATCGCCGGAGCCCAGCAGGTCGAGGCTGCGGTGGCCGGGAGCGGCCATTGCACTCCAGTCTGGGCGACAGAGTGAGACTCCAACTCAAAAAAAAAAAAAGAAAAACCTTTTCTTTCCTGCCCTGGAATGACTTTGCTTTATATGTACATATAAATCTCTTGTCAATGAACAGTTTGCAAATATTTTCTCCCATTCAGCAGGTTTTCTCTATGTTGGTTCCTTTGCTGTGCAGAAGCTTTTCAGTTTAATATAATCCCCTTTATCTACTTTTGATTGCCTGTGCTTTTGAGGTCTTAGTCATAAAATAGTTGCCTTAGGCACAGTAATTCCAGCACTTTGGGAGACTGAGGTAGAGAATCAGTTGAGACCAGAAGTTCAGAATAGTTGCCTAGATCAATGTCTTGAAGTGTCTCCCCTATTTTTTTTAGTAGTTTTATAGTTTCAGGTCTAATGTTTAATAAGTCTTTACTCCCATCTTGAGTTAATCTTTCTATATGGTGAGAGATAAGGGTCCAGTTTCATTCTTCTGCATATGACTATCCAATTTTCCCAGCACCACTTATTGAAGAGGGTGTTCTTTCCCTAATGCATATTCTTGGCTCCTTTGTCAAAAATCAGTTCGTTGTAAATATGCGGACTTATTTCTGGGTCCTTTATTTTGTTCCATTGGTCTGTGTGTCTGTTATATCAATACTGTGCTGTTTTGGTTACTATACCCTGGTAGTATAATTTGAAGTCAGGTAGAGTGACTTCTGGCTTTGTTGTTTTTGCTCAGGATTATTCTGGCTGTTTGGGCTCTTTTTTGGTTCCATACAGATTTTAGTATTGTTTTTATATTTCTGTGAGAAATTACATTGGTATTCTGATAGGGATTGCACTGAATCTGTGATTGTTTTGGATAGTATGGTCATTTTAACAATATTAATTTTTGAGTATGATATCTTTCCATTTGTTTATGTCCTGTTTGATATCTTTCACTGATGCTTTGTAGTTTTCCTTGTTGAGTTTTTACCCCCTTGGCTAAATTTATTCTTAGGTATTTTATTTTTTAGCTATTGTATGAGTAAATGGGATTGCCCTCTGATTTTTTGTTTGTTTTTTTGAGTCGGAGTCTCACTCTATTGCCCAGACTGGAGGGCAGTGGCACGCTCACGGCCACCACAGCCTTGACCTGCTGGGCTCAGGCCATCCTTCCATCTCAGCCTTCCAAGTAGCTATAGGCATGCACCACCATGCCTAGTTTATTTTTATTTATTGTAGAGATGAGGTCTCACCAAGTTGCCCTGGCTGGTCTCGAACCCCTGAGCTCAGACAATCCTCTTGCCTCGGCCTCCCAAAGTGCTGGGATTATTGATTTCTTTCTCTGCTAGTTCACTGTTGGTGTATAGCACCCCTACTGATTTTTGTATGTTTATTTTATATCCTGCATCTTTGCTGAACTTATTTATCAAACCAAAGGGTTTTTTTGTGGAGTCACTTGGTTTTTGTAGATAAAAGATGATATCTGCAAAGAGGGACAATTTGATTTCCTCTTTTCCAATTTGAATTCTTTTTATTTCTTTCTCGTCTGATTGCTCTGGCTAGGACTTCCAGTACTATGTTGAATAGGAGAGGTAAGAGTAGACTTTCTTGTTTCATTTCATAGAGAAATCCACATATCCACAACTTTAGGTGAGGATTTAATATATATGAATATAGGGAAAGAGGGTGTGATCACTTTATGTTCACAAGCAAATGCTGAAATGGTCCTTCCAAAGGAACTGCAAGGCTGATACAGAGGCTCAAGCCTGTAATCCCAGCACTTTGGAAGGCCAGTGTGAGAGGACTGCCTGAGCCCAGGAGGTTGAAGCAGAAGTGAGCTGTGATTGTGTCACTGCACTTCAGACTGGGTCATGGAGACCCAGACTCAATTAAAAAAATAAAAGGAAGTGTCAAGATCGTGGAGAGCCTTGACCCCCAGGGAACAGATGCCTCTGTGTTCTCAGTGGTCTCCGGCCACCAGCTTGGGCTGTCTGGTGTGGGGTCCTCCTATGCCCTGGAAGCAACCTTGCCTGTGTTTCCTGACACACGGTTTTGTTGCATATTTAACACAAAGTTCAGTTTGGTTGTTCCTGTGCCTACTACATTTGAGGTTGTACTTCTGTTTTTTCCTTTTTAAAATTAAGACCTAAAGCAATCACTCAGCTTTAAACATCAGAACTTAACAGAGTGGTATGCTCAGAGTGGGCTCCCCTTCCCTGCCCTTTTCTCCTCGTTCCCTTCCTTTCTCTGTATTCACTGGTCCTTATTATTTTCTGCATAATCCTATGTGTTTCCTTATATTCAGCATGAAGAGATAAATAGCATTTTATTCCTGTCCATTTTTATTAAAGAAACAGTTTCATAGTATAGACACTGTTTTGCCGTTTGCATCTCACTGGACAGTGTATCTCGGAGGTCACTCCATGAGTATCCTGGAGACTATCCTAAATGAAGTGCTGCACACATCTCCACGGATGGGTGGATCACGTGATGTTCTGCTACTCTAGTCCTTGAGGGTATCCAAGGTGTGAAATGTGCAGTTACAAGCAGGGCTACAGTCAGTAATCTTGAGCATTTTTCAATAGAGACAGACATGTCATGCAGTGTTATAGCAAAAATAACACTCACCTGTATAACTGAAGAAGTGTTGACAGTGGTGCCAAGACCATTCAATGGGCAACAGCCATCTTTTTAAAACATGGGGTTGGGGTACAGCCATTGTGGAAAAAGTATGGAGGTTTTACTAAGAAAAGATATACCATCATGATCATATGATTCAGCAATCCCACCTCTGGGTATACATCCAAAGGAAATGACATCAGTCTCTCAATCCCCATATTCATCATTGCAATATCTGCAATAGGCAAGATGTGGAAACAGTCTAAATTTCATGAATGGATGGATCAAGAAACTACTCTATCTACATATGACTATCACTTAGCCTTTAAAAAAGGAAATCCTGTGTAATTGCACATGGAATCTGAGCAGGCTGAACTCAGAGAGGCAGAGAGTAGCGTGTTGGCTGTCAGAGAATGGGATCAGGGAAGGAATGGGGAGATGTTGGTCAAAGGGTATAAACGTTCAGTTAAAAGGGGAATAAGTTCTGGGATTTATGTACAGCTGAGAGGTTTTAGTGAACAATGCTGTATTGTATGCTTGGAATCTGCTACAACAGGAGCTCTTAAGTGTTCTCACCACACTCAAAGAAGGTATCCAGGTCAGGGGATGATGTGTGAAGCAGCTGGATTGTGGTCATCATTTCACAATGTGTGCATGTTTACCTCATTGTGGTGCACACCCTAAGAACGTATGATTTTTATCTGTCAATGATACCTCAATGAAGCTTGGGGGAGGAATGATGCTATAAGTAGAAAAATGGAGCTGGACCCTTACATGATCCCATGTATAAAAAAGATGGATCAAAACCTACATGTAAGAGGTAACGTGTAAAGCTCTTAGACGAAAACATGGGGAAGAAAGCTTATGCCACTAGAGTCGGAAGTGACTTTTTGCTTCTGAAATCAACCACATATGGCTGGGCTCGGTGGCTCAGCCTGTATTCCCAGCACTTCGGGAGGCTGAGGCGAGTGGACTACCTGAGCCCGTGGGTTTGAGACCAGCCCGGGCAACCTGACGAGACCTCGTCTCTACAAGAAATAACTTAGCCAGGTGTGGTAGCACACGCTTGTAGTTCCAACTACTTGGAAGGCTGAGGCCGAAGGATCACCAGAGCCCAGCAGGTCGACACTGGGGTGGCCACGAGCCTGCCACTGCTCTCCAGCCTGGGTGATGAAGTGAGACTCCAACCAAAAAAAAAAAAAAGAAAAGAAAAGAAATCAACCACACAGACAACAGAAGAAAACAGAAGAAATACTGGCCTTTATCAATAATACAAACTTTGTGCACCCAAGGACAGTGATAAGGGAGTGAAAAACAAGTGTATGGGAGAAAATACTTGCACATCATATGTCTGATTAAGGACTAACATCCAGAGTTTATTAAGAACGTCTACAACTCAAGAATAACAACAGTAACAACAAAACCAATTCAACTTGAATAATTTCACCAAAGAGTGTTAGGGAAATGCAACCTAAAGCCGCAGGGATATATCACTTTACCCCATGACGATGGCTGTTATCCAACAAACAGGCAGTACGTGTTGGTGAGGCTGTGGAGCAGCTGCAAGCCTTGTGCGTTGCTGGTGGGAGTGTGAAACGCTGTGGCAGCTGCGGAAAGCAGCATGGTAGTTCCTCAAAAAAGCCAACAGAATTATTACACGACCCAATTCTACTTTTGCATATGTGATAAAACGTGCAGAGAGCAAGGCTCCCAAGATCCTGGTACCCAACATTCGTAGCAGCGTTATTCACAATAGCCTGCCAATCCCAAACACAAGATTTAACCCATTTGAGTCTTGCAAACATATCTCAAATGCGCATATTGTTAACCATTTAGAGTGCATCTGTTTTGTAGACTTCATGAAATTGTGTCCAACATCTGCTGGACATACACAAATGATAAACGCTGGGGCTAGAGACCGAAGCCCTGCCGTCCTTCAGAGCTTTCAGACCAGACCCGCTGGCAGGCTAATAAGCAGTGTTGCCCAGCACACAAACCCTCTGTGATCTCCTTCCTCTGGGAGTTCTTCCCTTCACCTTCTGAGTAGACTCCTAGTTCTCAGCCTATGGACATTCCCACGGTATGTGGGACTTCTGCCCCACTGACAGGGAACCTGTGAAAGCACTGCCCAAATAAAGCTTGGGTGCTGCTGCCCCCTTGTGGCCACGACTTTCTCTATGAGCCAAGAAATTGCTTCAACACAACTATATGGCTTTTTCCACCCCTAGAGTCCTGATCTATTTGGAGTCTTTTCTAGATTTAATTTCATAATTTACCAGATAGATAACCAGTTGTCTTGGCACCTTTCATTATAAACTGCTTTTTGCCCCACATCTATGAACCAAATTTCCATATGTTCTTGTCTATTTTCTGTTCATGTGCCAGAGTTTTAATCATAGAGGCTTTACAGTATGTCTTCATACCTGTAGGTTATCATTGCTTTAGTCTGTCAGAGTTTTTTGGTAATTACGCACTTTAGTATCAATATGGCTAGCTCCATTAAAAACTTTAGCCATTTTTATTGGGTTGCTGTTACATTTATGAATGAACCTGGGAAGAATGCCTAGTGCTAGTGCTATTTTGAATGCAGCATAGGTGGTCCTGGCCCTAATGGTAAGATTAGAAAGAAAACAATAGAAATTCATTATTTGAAGAAAAATATGAAAATTTACAGAAAAAAGATTACATTGAAAATACAGGGGAATTAACTGTTAGCATTCAGCATGGCATCCAGAGGAATAAAAAGGAATAAGGGCAGTAAAGCCCTACAGAGGGCCAAGTGTGATGGCTTGCGCCTAAAACCCCACCACTTTGAGAGGCCAAGGCAGGAGGATCACTTGAAGCAGGAAGTGGAGACCAGCCTCAACAATATGGCAAGACCCTGTCTCTACCAAAAAAAAAAAAAAAAAAAAAAAATA